GCTCTGGGAGATCCGAAACAAGTATCAGATCAAAAATAAAAAATAGGCGGTGGAAAAAAAAATCATTAAATTTTATTCATGCAGTAGTATAGGAGGACTTGCGGATAAGAGATGGATACCCTTCAATATTACAGAAAGAATGGCCTGTCCATGCTTTGCCCTGGGAAACCCAAAATATGTGTTCGATCAAAAAGTAAAATAGGAGATGCACAATGGCACTGTGTCACAAAGATTTTGTGAAAGTCTCATTAATCATGCAGTGGTGAAAAAGGAGTTGCGGATAAGAGATGGGTACCCCAAAGCGTAACAGAAGGACGGACAGACGGACGGACATCCCGATCACTATGTACCCCTCCTGCTTTTCGAGCTGCGGTACAGTGTAGTTAACACTACAAAGTCTCCAAACAAGTCTTCTGCCATCATAAAAGTCAACACAAAATCGCGACCCATCTGAGAAGAGAACAGAACACCAAGTTTCTACATTCTGTGGTCGCTCGCGTATAGCGGATAGAGCATACATGCTCTAGAGTCGTGAAGGAGTTGATCCTTACATCACAGGTTCGAATCCCACTGTGGGACGTGATGAGACCGCATAAACCTAGGTGCCGTGTCGCATGAGGTGCTGGCACGAAAAAGATCCCTCGCTGCTCAATGGCCGTAAGTGTCGAGTATAGGATAAAATTTGCAATTCTCCATCGGCAACTGGTGGCGTCATATGGGTGAAAAATTCTCGAGAGGGACCTTAAGCAATCAGTTAAGTTAATCAAACCAAACGTTGCTGCATGCCCACTGTAGTCGATTTCTGCGATGCTCTAATTATACCCCCCGCTTGAAAAGCGGGAGGGTATATAGTAATCAGTTAAGTTAATCAAACTCCTCTCATACCACGTTTTGATGAAACTTTCACAGAATCTTTATTACATATTGCCATTGTGCACCTCCTATTTTACTTTTTTATCCGATATTCTGCGGCCACAGGAAAACATGCTTTTTCACCAGTTAAAACCATATTTAATAAGCTCATCGCTCACAGTACCTCTAGTTTTAATACAGGACATAATATACGGCTGGTCGGTAGGCCTTTAAACTTACTTCATAAAATCTGTTTTGAACTGTCTGAGTAGAAATCCTTCTTTCCATTGCTCTCTGACTCTCAGAATTAAGCCTAACAGTACTTTGGAGGCCATGCTTTTCTGCAAGCCAACATTGGTCAAAGCCAACATTGGTCAAATACCGGGGTATAACTGTTCTCATGGACGGGACATTTCATAAACGGCTATAATTGCATGGTTTGGGAAACATGTGCAGTCTTAAGCTTTCTTCAAAGTTTTGTCAGCTTCCAGCATCCTTGATGCCCTTTAGCTTTCTTCCATACACATATGCCTCCTTATTATATAGCGTCTTATCACCACATCTGGTGAAATACTGGTACTTTTTTATATTCATTCAAGAAAACCTTCTTTGATATTTGTATGCTCCCATTGTTCCACTTACATTTCTAACGCCAATTAAGTACTTTCTTATGCAGTATATTATATGCTGCAAAACTTGATCATAAAACACGTGTTGCTCAAGTATAGAATCGTGTGAATGACATATTTTTTAAACAACTGAAGCTTGTTGTCGTATAAATTCATTGTATGGAAATATATTTCTTGTGTAAAAATATGATCCATAACTAAACTAGAGGTACTGTGAGCGATGAGCTCACTAAATGATACCCCCCGCCTCCCATATGTTTAAAACTGGTGAAAAAGTCCATGTTTTTCTGTGGCCGGGAAACCCAAAATATGTGTCGGATCAAAAAGTTAAATAGGAGGTGCACAATGGCAATATGTAATAAAGAATCTGTGAAAGTTGCAGGAAATTTCATTCAGTGGTATGAGAGGAGTTGCGGATAAGAGATGGGTACCCCAAAGCGTAACAGACGGACGGACAGACAGACGGACGGACGGACGGACGGACAGACGTACAGACGGACGGAATTAACGATTACTATATACCCTCCCGCTTTTCAAGCGGGGGGTATAACTAGAGGTACATGATATGTGGGCACTGAGCTCACTAAATGATACCTCACCTCCCATATGTTTATAATGTTAAAGTCCATGTTTTGCTGTGGAAGACCCGGAATAAGTGTCAGATCAAAAATTAAAATAGGAGGTGAACAATGGCATTATGTAATAAAGAATTTGTGAAAGTATCACTGATTAAATTTTATTCATTGGTGTAGGAAGAGTTGTGGATAAGAGATGGTACCCTTCAATATATTATAGAAAGAATGACAGTATTCATGTTTTGCCCATCGTCTCAAGCCACGGTCCGGAGCCCGCATAATAGAATGGGAGAGGATCGTACATTTTGGCCGTGGTTTGCGACGATGTGTTTTGCCATGGGAAACCCGAAATATGTGTCCGATCAAAAAGTAAAATAGGAAGTGCACAATGGCACTGCAGTGTAACAAAGATTCTTTGAAAGTCTCATTAACTTTCATTCAGTGGTGTAAGAGGAGTTGCAAATTAGAGATGGGTATCCCAAAGCGTAACAGACGGACTTACCCTCCAACTTTTCAAGCGGGGGTATAATAATTTTGTATTGCCTACAGCACAGGTACTTGTGGAGGACCCCCCCCCCAATATACAGGGGGGGGGGTTCCTGTCCACAAGTACATGTACCTGTGGCCTAAAGCAAAATGTTTGACATTGGATGATTCCTCAATTCCTGAAATTGCTTACAGTGTATCGATTGATAAATCGTTATTCAGCTATATTTACGGTAAAAAAAAAATATTTAAGGCTTATTGATACTCTGATAAGAGAGATAACTCTTAATGACATCATAAATCTATATTATTCCTTTATAGATTTGCCAAGATGAAGTGTCTTTTGTCCAGTTTTGCCCCACAAGCTATGCTATAATTGTTTGTATTTTACTTATAAAATACATTTCTTTTGGAAAATCATTAAGGTTCAAGCATCATTTTATATGAGTGACCAGAGGGTTCATAAACCTTAATACAGCTATGAAATATTTTTGACGAGGAATGAGCAGGCCTCCGTTCAAGCTAGTATATTTTGAGTAACATTTTGATCTATACCCAAGTTTTCCTAAATACATGAGAACCGTTCAAAAATTAGCTCTTGTCTAGCACAGAAGAAATATTTGACGACATAACAGGGCAAAATTTCACAAATAATATAAAAGAATCTTTACTTATATGGTCTTCAAAATTTCATATCAAAATGTTGTAAATTGGTATTAATTTTGAGTGATTTTTCAGGACATACTGTTTAGTCACGGCGCAGCAAAATCTTCGACGTCACAAGCATTATAAAAAATATGTGATTGAGCCATCATTTTCTCAACATTTTCCCTTGAGCACCTGTATAGTTTGAGTTACCTTAACTACTCAACATCCAAACACCAATTCTTGTCAAGCTTAAAATCTATTAAACAAGTAAAGAATATTCTTTTTTTGTTTTAAAACCAAAAACTACTTATGAGATATAGTGTGATATTGGCGATTCTCAATCACGTTCTTTACAGTCCAGATAAAGTTAACTTTTCGGTCTATATTTGTTTTGACAATCTCCCGTATAGCCTTTTTACAGAGGTCTAACTGTCTAAAATTTCAATTTGCTATTTGTGGGCGAATGTCACGAGTAGCCTAGTTTGCTACATGTTTTATTATGCATATTTTAGATCTATGTTTCCGATATCTCGAGCATTACACATATTTTAACAAAAGTTTGGTGCGCCGTCAATTCAGGAGACGTAATTTTCACAGTCGTTTTCACGGGAATTGCATCAGAGAAAAATCACTATATTTCTGTTTGTACTTCAAATATTACGTCCGAAATCTAAATACATAATAATTGAACAATTTAAAGGTACATTTGAGAAAATTGTTGAAAAATATCGCGAATTTTAGAAAATCAATGAGTTAAATTTTTGAATCCGCATGCTTTTGCTTCAATTTTTTTGTCGTGCGCCGTACCTCTCCATCAACGATATCAAAATACCGATAATTTTAGTAGAATTTTTTTAAAATACATAAATTTTGCCCAAAATTTATTGGAATCTTTAAGATACATATTTCTGTGAAGTTTTATAACTATATGACGCCTGTAAGAGTAAATAATAGCACAGTCCGCGTAATTTTTGAACGGCCCTCGTACATGAGAAAACTTCAACACAGCTCTGCTTTAGGTCGAAGGACATTGTCCTAGCCACAGGTGCTTGCTTGCTTCCCCCCCCCCCCCGGTTCCGTATCCCAAGGGTTCTTTGACCTTTTTAACATATTTCTATGACATTTATATTCACAAAGAATTACAACTAATAAAATTGATACTAAAACAGAATGTTTAGGGTGTATCGATTGATGTACGTCATGCAATTGCACAGGTATGATTTTATTTAGATTACTGGATATCATAACAATAATTCTAAATGAATTTTTCAGAAACAAAAATAGAATTACGTTATTCATGCCTCTCGATATGGTATTGATTAATGACAGTTTATAAATTCTAAATATTATATTTTGTTTTAGATGTTTTAATATATTAATAGACTGTGTGGACTTATTATACCTCTAGCTAACATTAAAATACATTAAAAAGTCTTGATCTTGCTTTAATTTTGAAACACCCTGTATTAAGATTTGTTGCTGATGGTGGTACCACGTGATCCCTGAACGATTATCGATTGGATAATAGTGTCAACATGATAATGATGAGAAAAATGGCAACCAGCTAGACCTTCTAATGAACGATTTCTATGACTAATAACATCGTGTTTGATTTGATGACTGCATCTAAGTACATCATTTGAATTAACTCACAGGAAAACTATTTTCACCACGGTAAGTAAGAAAAATTATACTTTTCTGGTCCAAAAGTCTGGAATATCATATTAATGATGCAGGTAGGACCGGTGTAGCTTGTTCACATGTGCACTGTCATTCGCTTATCAGAGACATAAATATCATGTTATTTACGTCTGTGGCGTAGGTAGAGGTTTTATGTTTTGTTGAAGACAACACTGGTCGATTTTTGGAGAAAAACTGAGAGGACAAGTTCCTGTGTAACATGCATAATGTATCTGTATTGACGTTCGGGTAAAAGGTACTGTAGGATCCCAGGGGCAGAGACTGCGGTACGTAGCTCCGGGACATCGAGGCTATTATAGAAGGATAAATCTCTAATAATGATCGCTTATTCTACATAATTGTTAATGATTGGTGTTACAAATGGGTTAAAGATACAAATTAGCGAGCTACACATTAGTGTACGCCTATATCTATGAGACTGAACGGTATGCTTACCATGCTTACTAACTACAGACTGCTGTGCTTGTGGTCAATTTTGTGAGCAGTGCAGACGCATTCTTATCAGTTTGTTTACCATCTATTTTTTCAAGAAATCTTCCCTAGGGTAGATTTGTAGATTACTGAGTATTTCTTAAATTCTATCATGTTTTAGATTAACAAAAGTATGTTACATAAAATTAATCATCCACGGAATGAGCCTAAAGAAAATCAATATCGATCTATGAGAGAAAACAGTTATTTTTAATACATTATACAGACTATTATAATGCACTAGCTAGGGCTTACTATGATTTTATCTGATCATAGGTAAAAGATAATTGAAATCGATTTGAGTGCATATTTTTTAAAAAAGTATACACTGACCAAAAATAAACAAAGCAGTGATCGATGTGAGAAAGTGTGGGGGTTTGGACTCTTATGTTTACAAACTAACTTGTTTATATATACAAGCAAAACAGTGACAGGAAATCTCTTTACACTTGACATGTACAGATAAAATTTAGGAAGCATACAGTCTGTTGTCTTGTGTTAAATCAGAACAGAGCTGTTAAAAAAAGAGCGAGGATATAGAATGGTGGGAGATGGGTTCTGACCCCCCTCCCTTTAACAATTTAAAAAAAAACACCTAAATTGTCTGAATTCCCCCTAAAAAAAAAGGTCTCCCCAAGCTGGTCGAGGAATGTTCAGTAGGGGGACAAAAGTCTTGAGGAAAAAGATGGTGTCACATTTCCAACGCAAGTGGGACAATTCGTACAAAAAAAAACTGCTTTGACAGCTCATTTGCCCAAAGTGAATAAAACAACTTACCTCAGTATTTAGTTAAGTGTCCCTTTAATCGGATGATCTGCTGTATTCTTCGGGGAAGGGATTCAAACAGATTTCTGACGTAGTTTTAAGTTTATGTCCCGCCATATTTGCAGTGTGTTTTGAAAAAGTTCGTACGGGGAATTGAACGTGTATTCGTGATTGGAGTTTTCTTTTTATAAATAACCAAATATTCTCTGTATATATATTTAAGTCCGTAGACTGTGCCGACCAGCTCATGTTCTTAATTCTATTTCTGGCAGGGCTCGACATTAACTTTTTTTTCCTACTTGTCCATTCGGACAAGTGACCAAGATATTTACTTGTCCGAACTTCAACTTCACTTGTCCGAAAAATTTTCAATGAATGTCTTGTTATGTCAACTTGAAAACAATTAAAAAATTAAATGTGCTTGATTTATTACTGTAGTTATTGATAAATAAGACAAACACATATAAAATAAAATTTTATCTAGACTTCCTGTGCTGACAACAGCATAAATGTTCGCAAGTGAATCTGTAATATCAATCAAATATATTCCAAACTCGCAAACGTCGTAAGATCCATGCCATGCAATAGTATGGCTGCAATTAGTGAACATCGATCCCGATAGTGTGAACTTGCATAACTCGGGAGTTCCTCGGATAACTCGTACCTCATGGTTTGAATGGAGCGTAGCGGAGTCAGCCGAGGATTGCAGATTGAACTTGCATAGCGATTGATATCGGGATCGAAATTCAGGTTTATGTGTACTGCTTCCGTTTTCACTCGATAAACTTTCCAATAGTTGTTTTTTATTTTATGATTATTATTATTTGAAGACTTCTTTACATAGAAAAATCACTTGTCCAATCGGACAAGTGCCCAGCAATATTCACTTGTCCGTAATTTTTTTTCATTGGTGCCGGACAAGCGTTAATGTAGAGCCCTGTCTGGCGACAAATTCCTGCGTCAAACGGGACTGATGTACTGGAGCTGTAACTTATATGGACATTGTTGTTTTGTGCACAGTGATGCATGCCTACAGAAAACAATGGTCCAGTCCAATGAATGAAGAGAAAAGCATGATGGTCTTCTACAAATTTTCAACCAAACTTGCCATAAATTATTCTTGGCTAAACATGCTAAAGGGAATTCAATTTTCTTCAAATGAAGGGTATCAGGTCTTTTTTGTGAATTATTGAAAATTTATTTACACTATTTAAAAAATCTCCTTAAAAACAGTAGATCAGGAAATAGAAAATTCATGCGGAAGCATCCTCAGGTAGTGTAGATTCAAATTTTTTATCCCCAGATAGTGTAGATTCAAATTTGTTCAAATCCCCCCCCCCTTCTCCAACCCATGGGTAGAGCAGGACTGCAATGGGCTATCAATGTTTGACAAAGGAATACATAGGAAAAAATCTTCTCAAGAATAGCAAAGCCAATTCTAAGTCTTATTTATATGGAAGCATCCTCAGGTAATGTAGATTCAAATATATATGTTTGATTGCTGTTTTACAGATGGTTTGTACAAAGTAAACCCTTAACCTATGGCAAAAGTCACTGATTTCCAGTGGCAAATACCTGTGCCAGAAGTTCTTCTTAAGGGAGCTGTGTTTGACAGATGGGATGAGGTATGTGTTCATTTATACTAAAAAAGCTTATTGAATTACATACAAATGTTATGGTGAATATAAATATTAATAGGATGAAATATGCATAATTTTTAGCCGGGCTTATTGCTCAAAGAGCAATTGCCGGCTTATGTGATCGTGTTCAAGGCAGGATGTTGACCCCATAGTCGCCATTTTAAAGTTACATGCAATAATATAGTTCTTACTCTCAACTGCTTTTGAGATAATACAAACGCTAAATAAAGCAACAAAAATAAAACAAAGTTTTATCTATATAAAATAAACATTAGTAGTAATGACTTTGAAAACTTCATAAGTCAAAGAACATAGTTCATTAGCGTAAGGATTTTTGATAATCAGTGTTACCGTAGTTCTCTACACATACGAAGTAAAGCAGGAGAGGGAACCAGACTGGCCTGTTTGTTTACATTCAGCTGCGGTACCAGATTAATTCTGATTCTGACAAAATCGGACCGTGGTATTAGGATTGAAAAACTCACTGTCAGTGTCTTATCATTTATATTGATAGTTTTAAAATAATTTTTTTATCAGAATATAAACGTGATTCATGTAAGAAATCCATTCTACTCTGTAAATGAGCCCGGCTCTCTGTACTGAGTACTTTGATTAGATATGTGTGGTACAAGACAGGGCTCGACATTAACTTTTTTTCCTACTTGTCCATTCGGACAAGTGACCAAGATATTTACTTGTCCAAACTTCAACTTCACTTGTCCAAAAATTTTTCAATGAATATCTTATTCCGTCAACATGAAAACAATTACTTAAATGAAAAACTTAAACGTGCTTGATTTATTAGTGTTGTTATTGATAAATAAGACAAACACATATGAAACAAAATTTTATCTAGATTTCCTGTCCTGACAACAATATAAATGTTCGCAAGTGAATCTGTAATATCAATCAAATATATTCTAAACCTGCAAACGTCATAAGATCCACGCCATGCAATAGTATGGCTGCAATTAGTAAACATCGATCCCGATCAAGTGTGAACTTAGAGAGCGATTGATATCGGATCGAAATTCGGGTTTATATACGCTTCCGTTTTTATAAGATAAACTTTTAATTCAATAGTTTTTTTTTAAAATTATTATTATTTGAAGACTTCTTTACATAAAAAATCACTTGTCCAATCGGACAAGTGCCCAGCAAAATTCACTTGTCCGTAATTTTTTTTCATTGGTACCGGACAAGCGGACAAGCGTTAATGTCGAGCCCTGCAAGAACAAAAAGAAAACTATTTTGATTAGCTCAACATAGGCCAAAGGCTATATAATGAGCTTTTCTTGCCAGTTCTAGTCTATTGATTGTTTTTCTTGATTCTAGAATTTCTGAACAAAATTCAATCAAACTTTGCATAAAGTATCTTTGATAAAGGGTACAAGGTTGCTCAAAGGCATACACTCTAAAAATCACATATTTTTGAGGGATCAAATTTTCATGATTTAGGGAAAATATATTGGTTTATGGGCATGATGGGGATATGATTTCCTGGATGAAGAAATGTTAAGTGGTAATATATGTAAAAAATTTCATTTTCTGGTGGACAAAAAGCAAAAATTAAACCCCAAGAAAAATAAGTGATTTCACAGTATTCAAGATTGGAAAATACAGGGTGAAGTTTCTAAAAAGTTTATGCGTGACAGCCCTTGAGTTAATTCACTTACGACAACTAGTCAGTAGTTACTATAAATAATGTAATTTCTAGGTCATTTGAAAAAGTTTTTTATCCATAATTATCCTGATCATTTTAAAATCTAATGATGTTTTAAAGCTGTCAGTAGTAAACTTCAGAATGTTTTCAGCTTCTGCTCTGGAACTGCTGAACCAGTTTCAAGGAATGGTGGCATATATATCATCTATCTAAAATGTGGAACAAAAATTATGAATTTTGTAGTCCCTAGAAACCTAGGACCTGAGAGGAGGTCAAAACCATAAAAAATCAAGAAACCTTAAAAATCTCCTTTCTCACTCCCCATGACAACAGCAGTCAATCTACTAGTATTTGTATGAATTTTGGAAGCATTGAGCTCTGCCAAAATTTTAAAACTCATGGTCCCCAGGGTCAGGGATTCAAGTGCAAGGGTTGTACCCAGGGCTCTACATTAACTTTTTTTTCCTACTTGTCCATGCGGACAAGTGACCAAGACATTTACTTGTCCGAATTTCAACTTCACTTGTCCGAAAATTTTCAATAAAGTTCAATAGTTTCAACTTGAAAATTTGAATTAAGTTCATGTATTTAAACATGTCATGCGCTTGATTGATTCATGATGTTAATGATAAATACAACAGACATATAAAACGAAATTTAATTTAGGCTTTCTGTCCTGACAATAACATAAATGTCCACAAGTGAACCTGTCAACATCAAACAATATTCACACTTCGATTCGTAACTTCCATGACTTTTTTTAGTAGTAAGCAATTAGTGAACTTCGATCCCGATCGAATATGAACTCAGTATTTTAATATAGCGATATATTTCGGGATCAGAGTTTGGATTTGATGTACAGCTTCCGTCTTGAGACTACCGATTTAGCTTTCAACAGTCGTTCTTTTTATTATTTAGAGACCCCTTTACATTAAAATGCACTTGTCCAATCGGACAAGTGCCCAGCAATATTCACTTGTCCGAATTTATTTTTCATTGGTACCGGACAAGCGGACAAGCGTTAATGTCGAGCCCTGGTACCGTATTGATCATTCAGTTAAAAAAATGCATACATGCTTTGAAAAGTCTTGCTCCTGTCTATTAAGCAGACGTGTAGTGCATTATCATGATGATTAAGTATGTATCTTTCAAAATTGTTTAATTCATGACCTAGGGGTCAGGGGTCTAGTGTCATGATGGTGTTCTACTTCATATGTAGGGAAAAATGTATCAATTCTTTAGAAATCTTCCAATGAGTTTTAAATGTCCTATAAATACTACTATGTACTAGATACTGAACAATTTTTGACAGGCTTAATATATGCAGTGCAGTCACTCAGGGTGCACTTTATTATACATTATACAATTAATTACCTCTTGTGAGGTCAACATGGTGAAATAAGGACCCTCGACCTGGCCCACGAGGTGACCTGACCTGACCGAGGCCGCGTAGCGGCCGAGGTCAGGGCAGGTCATCAAGTTGGCCAGGTCGAGGGTCCTTATTTCACCATGTTGAACTCACAAGGGGTAATTATTTGTTTTATTATACCGATATATATTGAAAAGTATGAATCTCTAACCGTTATCAATTCTTTCTCTGATCGGGATTTGCTACAGACCGGATAGTGAAGTTGTTTATATTGACGTCTGCAAGTTGTATAAGTTTTTGCATCATGATTTACTGATTAAAACAACATTTGGTTGATAGCGAAATACGTTGTTATAACTAACGATTACTTTTCCTCTACACAGTCAAAATCTAACACAGAATTTAACTCTTTAAAGAGCCGCCTCTACCTGTCTACATTCTATTGAACTGAATTGTAACGATATATTGAAACGATATATTGTAACGATAAAATTTTACCGTATTCTGTATGGTAATGCAAAACAGACCATGCACATTTTTAAAACATGTTGGTTTTTTTTCGAATAATTATTATTTTATGCATTAACTTCACTGAAAAACGAATTTTTGATTAAGCGGTCATTTTTAGCGGTCATTAAAAATAATGACCTGGTCATTATATCCCTCCTGCAATGTTTCCTAGTTCAGTATTGCTGTAAACAGTACCATTTGGTGTCATTGTTGTGTTTTAAAGTTTTCTTACCAGCCAATCAAATTTGAGTATTATCAATAGAGGTATAATAAATGTATATATATCCCCACTCCAAAGGAAAGGAGGGTATTATTAGTTACATAGTCTTTTAGTGACAGGGTATGGGATGATACCTGGTTAGTAAATTTCATACCTGGCGAGGCGGAGCCGAGTCAGGTATGAAATTTACTAACCAGGTATCATCCCATACCCTGTCACTAAAAGACTATGTAACGAATTTACCCCACCGATGTAACATTTACGTTTTATCTGTAGTTTATAGATGGTTTTCTCTGCTAAATGCTTCATCACGTTTATACTGTGCTTATTATGACGTCACGTTTGTGTCGTAATACATCGACCGGGTATAGATTTACAACTGACCGGGTATAATTAATCCACCGCCTTCACGTAACAGACTTCAACCAATCGTAAGCCAGGATTTCACGGGAAAATCGACAGAGGTGGGGTAAACTGTTTTACCCTTGTGTTTCTGTTACAAGTTTTGGTCACAGTTTTGTCAGTAAACACTAATTGCAGATGTTTGAAATTTTAGCACACTCATTCTTTAGGCATACCATGTTGCATCGTCTCAAGCCATGGTCCGGAGTCCACATTAGCTCCCTCCTACCCGTGGCTGCTTGATCACAAAAAGCCGTAATCTTGAATATTTACGCCTCTCTATTGTGACGTCATATTCAGTCAGTGGCAAGTTTTGTTTCCATCGCAATCAAAATCAACAATTGGCGTAAACAGTATACAAGAAATATTTCCTATACTGCGATTGGTTATTGAAAGGTCGCGATAAAGTTCATCATCCGACTATGCTTTACTCGCATTGGTCAATATTTTAATGAGCTACGAAGAATTCTCTCTTCAACCACGGCCAGAATGGGAGAGGAGCGTACATTTTGGCCGTGGTTTGCGACGATGACCATGTTGTGGAATACATTTTTGTACAAATTGGATGACAACTTCCTGTTTATCTGTGCATCTGTCAGTACCAAACATAACAAGGTTTCATACTCATCACAGATGGTTGAAGTGTCAAAAGAATCTTGCACCAACAACGTAACTGATCTAGGCCTTATGTTTCTTTTGAAAAGGATTTGGGAGGTAGGGTGGGGTAACATTCATCTTCACAGTAGCCAGTAAGCCGAGTAAGGATGTATTAATGAAGTTTGTTACTTCTCAGAGGTATAAAATTCTTACTTTCATTCATTTTATAAGACAAGCATTTTCACAAATCAAAGTTTTGATAAATTTAATTCTTGATTGAAGCAAAGGATTGTATTAAAACTGGAAGTGCTATTTATAAAGCACCTACCCGTGGATAAAGCATAAGTTTATCTCATGGGCAGTATCCTCCACATGTTTGAGATAAACAGATCTACAGTCTGAGATGTTGCTGATTACCAGATAAACATTAATTATTGTTTGGACTGTTATTTATTTTTCATGAGAGCTTTTGATCATGTTGATTCCAGTGTCAGTTCAGGCTCATTTTGTTAGACCCACAGACACTATAATCAAAAGTTTGACCATCAAGGCTCAGGGGCCTTTTGCATTTTTTAAATGATTCAAAATTGTTTGTTCACTTCCTAGGGCATTGATCAAAGGCGACTAAAGAATATAGTTTGTAACTTTATTACACTTGACTTTATTTATATTTTTAGGAATCAGCTACACTAGAACCTAAGTGTATTGTGAAGGTTGATGAATATGGATTCTTCATCAACTGGCAAAGCACAGATCGGGTAAGACGTCTTTTTATGTTGAAAATCCTCCATATTTAAATCATTGTTAAAATATTTTAAGCATACATGATCTAAAAATATGAAATATATGAGCTTTTCTGGACAGAGTGTCAGTGGTGTCTTTTTCTCCATGTATTGTGTGTTTTCTGTAAATTTTTTTAACTTTTAGCTCACCTGAGATCAGATGAACTTTTCTGATCAAAATTTGTCTGCTGTCTGTCTGTCATTGTTGTTGTTATCTTCGTCATTGTTATCAAACTTTTCACATTTTCATCTTCTTGAGTTCTTGTCCACATTTTCATCTTCTTGAGTTCTTGTTCACATTTTCATCTTCTTGAGTTCTTGTTCACATTTTCATCTTCTTGAGTTCTTGTCCAGAACCACTGGATCAATTTACCCAAAGAGCATTCTTGGGCAAAGGGGATTAAAGTACATTTGTTATTGGATTAAACGTTCTTTTTTCAGAATTTATCGATGTGTAAACTCATGCCCTTTTACTCACAAACTGAATAAGCACTTTTATGTAAGGTTTGTGAGTAAAAGGCATGAGTTTACACATCGATAAATTTTGAAAAATGAATGTACAATTCTTATAATTCCAATTACGAATTTTCAAAAATTATTAAAATTATTTCACTTTGAGGCCTCCATACAATCCGTTATTTTCGTACTTTTTGTAGGATAGTATTGTAGTATTTTGTAGGAATACTTATGCCGTAAAGAAACGTAATCGAGTTGAATATCGATAAAAATTCAACTTAAATTGTCAAAACAGTCAATAAATAAACTTATAAAAACTCATCGAATGTGGTTTAAGTCAACAAATATCGTAAATAAGAGTCAATAAATAAACTTATAAAAACTCATCGAATGTGGTTTAAGTCAACAAATATCGTAAATAAGAGTATACTCCAGAATAAATTGTCCTTGACCATGACCATGTGGACATTAACAACAACTCTCAGAGCGAAAGTTGCAGATGCCCTCGATTTGCTCTGGTTTGTTCAAAGACTGAGGAAGAATAGAGGCTTAGCTAGGATGTAAAAATATGAATTTGATGCTCATAAGACCAGAGTCTGAGGTATGTTTCTTTTCCCTATCACGGATACCAACTGAGCTCAATTACTTCGTATTAGGCCTAGATCGAACGTCGAGCGATTTTTAAAAAAATTCGCACTCGTAATCCGACTGTGACATAAGCATAACATTATCGTCTTTCGGTCCTGTTTGTCAACAGTTTTGTTTATTTAATTTCAAGTTTCTTGTAATCATAATTTAGCTAAAAGAGACTAGACGTAACTGTTTTCATTGTTTTTACAACAGCCTAGAAGCTTGGTCAAGAAAGTAGTTCTGATTGAAAAATTTATCGATGTGTAAATTTTTTCTTGAAGTTGCTCTCGCCCAATCAAAACACAGGGAATCAATAAATAAAGTTAAGATTGGAATTATGTTCAAATGAAAGGCATGTCTTCTCTCAAAGGGAGATAATGAAGATTTCTTGAAAAAATTAATGACTTATCATAGATCTTTCTGCAGTTTATTACAGCAAAACTCGTTTAGTTCGAACACGGATATAGGGAATTCATGGATATAGCGAATTTATTTTGTATCCCCAGCTATATAAATTTAACAAATTCCCTATATGGATATAACGAATTACGGATATAACAAAGTAATTTCATAGGTCCCAGTGACTTCGTTATTTAAGCGAGTTTTAATGTATATTTATTTACATGTATATATACTGTTCACACATTGATTTGTTCGGTTGTTAAACTTTCATTGTTCTAGCATACAACATGTTTGGAGCTTTAGTGAAATAAAAAAGTTCTAAGTATGTGCAGACATCTTTTTAAAATCTTCTCAAGGTCTACTGCATCAGAAAAAAAGAAACATATTAAAGCTTCTTTGAAGAACTAGTGGGTGTTAATTCAGCTAAACTGAACAGGAAGATTCTTGGGTAAAGAGAATTTCTGCTTGAACAAAAAGTCGTAACTCCTGTCCAGACAATGAAGTACAAATAAGGATCTGTCAGACTGAAATCTTATTGGTTCCTTAGTCATGTGACCTTCTGCTATCTGTTCCAGTCAATCTTTAGTAAACATTCAATTAATATGGCTGAGTTAGTTTTGGCTAATTTTAGCTTTTCATTTTAAAAGGATGGTTGAGGAATCCTGATGCCAAAAAGCATGAAATTTTCCAAACCACCCCCAGGATAAATAAACATTTTAAGCTTAAGTCAAAATCTTAATGTTGTACTAAAAGGTTTAAGGTGAAATATCTCTCTGCTCCAAATTTCACCAATTATTTTTAAAATTCCAAACATTGATTTTCATCAATAACAACAGCATTAGATGCAAATGGAAAATAGTTTGAAGTATGAAGCGTTGCTTACTTTTTCAAAAATGAATATTATGTCTAATCATGATATGAAGAAAATTTTATATGGTAATTAGAAATATCAATAATTTTTTTTATCTCACAACAAAATTAAAAGTATGAGGTATATATGAAAATAATGTTTAATGTCATCTAATTCTGATTTGAAAACATAATGAAGCGTTGCTTTTTAAATCAGAATATCAAATTGTTTCCTGTTTTCTGTGCTTGTAAAATAATATGCATCCATCAACAATAGTTATCTTTCCATCATCAGCCAGCCTTGAAAATATTTTTTAGTGAAACAAAATTTTAATTAAATGTTTATAAACAATTTTTTTGAAACAATTTTTGAAACAATTAAAAGACATACTTTAAAAGATAGAAATATCTCAATTTTCACGTTTAAAGAAACTTGGTATAAATGTTTTAGGTAAACTATTATTAGCTCACCTGAGCCGAAGGCTCAAGTGAGCTTTTCTGATCACATTTTGTCCGGCGTCCGTCTGTCCGTCCGTCCGTGTGTCTGTCTATAAACTTTTCACATTTTTGACTTCTTCTCAAGAACCACTGGGCCAATTTCAACCAAACTAGCCACAAAGCATCCTTGGGTAAAGGGGATTCAAGTTTGTTCAAATGAAGGGCCACGCCCTTTTCCCAGGGGAGATAATTATGAATTAGAGAAAAATTAATGGCATTTTTAAAAAATCTTCTCAAGAACCACTGGGCCAGGAAAGATGAAACTCATGTGGAATCATCCTTAGGTAGTGTAGATTCAAATTTGTTCAAATCATGACCCCCGGGGCTAGGGTGGGGCCAAAATGGCCGACCCAAATTTTACATAGAAATATGTAGGAAAAATCTTTAAAAATCTTCTTCTCAAGAACCACTGGGCCAGGAAAGATGAAACTCATGTGGAATCATCCTCAGGTAGTGTAGATTCAAGTTTGTTCAAATCATGACCCCCGGGGCTAGGGTGGGGCCAAAATGGCCGACCCAAGTTTTACATAGAAATATATAGGAAAAATCTTTAAAAATCTTCCTCTCAAGAACCACTGGGCCAGGAAAGATGAAACTCATGTGGAATCATCCTCAGGTAGTGTAGATTCAAGTTTGTTCAAATCATGACTCCCGGGGCTAGGGTGGGGCCAAAATGGCCGACCCAAGTTTTACATAGGAATATATAGGAAAAATGTTTAAAAATCTTCTTCTCAAGAACCACTGGGCCAGGAAAAATGAAACTCACGTGGAATCATCCTCAGGTAGTGTAGATTCAAGTTTGTTCAAATCATAACCCCCGGGGCTAGGGTGGGGCCAAAATGGCCAACCCAAGTTTTACATAGGAATATATAGGAAAAATCTTTAAAAATCTTCTTCTCAAGAACCACTGGGCCAGGAAAGATGAAACTCATGTGGAATCATCCTTAGGTAGTGTAGATTCAAATTTGTTCAAATCATGACCCCCGGGGCTAGGGTGGGGCCAAAATGGCCACCCAAGTTTCACATAGGAATATATAGGAAAAATCTTTAAAAATCTTCCTCTCAAGAACCACTGGGCCAGGAAAGATGAAACTCATGTGGAATTATCCTCAGGTAGTGTAAATTCAAGTTTGTTCAAATCATGACCCCCGGGGCTAGGGTGGGGCCAAAATGGCCGACCAAAGTTTTACATATGGATTTATAGGGAAACCTTTTAAAATCATCTTTTTAAGTACTTCAAAGCTATGATTAGTGATATTAATATGGAATCATCTTCAGGTAGTGTAGATTCTAGTTTGTTCAAATCATGAACCCCTGGGGGGTTAAAATTTTTTTAGCCCCCCCCCCCCCCCCCCCCCCCGTAAACTTTCATTTCTGATCTGAAATGTGCTTTTTCCAAGCCAATGTGCTCAGGTGAGCACTGTGGCCCCTGGGCCTCTTGTATAGATAGTTAATGAAAATATTGGCAATAGAAACTATAAATCAACACCTGTACATTAGATTAGATTTGTTTGAGTTGACTGTAAAAATGGACTTCATTAAAGTACTATGTACATTCTGACAAGACAAACCATTGAATTTCATGGAAAAATGTCTTCAGAAAGTTATTTCTCTTATCAGAGGGATATTACACCTTAAGAAGTCAAGCAGACAAAAATGAAAGTAAATTATTTTCAGCTCACCTGAGCGGAAGGCTCAAGTGATCTTTTCTGATCAAAATTTGTCCATTGTCTGTCGTTGTTGTTGTTGTTGTAAACTTTTCACATTTTCATCTTCTTCTCAAGAGCCCCTGGGCCAATTTTAACCAAACTTGCCACAAAGCATCCTTGGGTGAAGGGGGTTTAAGTTTGTTCAAATGAAGGGCCAAACCCTCTTCCAAGGGGAGATAATTATGAATAAATGAAAAATTAATGGTATCTTTTAAAAATCTTCTTCTCCAGAACCATTGGGCCAGGAAAGATGAAACTAATGTGGAAGCATCCTCAGGTAGTGTAGATTCGAATTTGTACAAATCATAACCCCCAGGTGTAGGACGGGGCCACAATGGCTGATCAAATTTTAACATAGGAATATATAGGATAAAATCTTCTCCAGAACAGAGGGGGGTTAGCGAGGGGTCACGGTGGGAGATAGAGTAATATGTTGGAGAAATCTTTAAAAATCTTCTTTTCAAGTATGGTGAAATTATACATGCATACCTTATTGATATAGTGACATTCTCAAGTAATAGAAAATTCAAATCCCCCCTCCCCCAACAAGTAAGCTTTTCAATACTAAGCTGATTTGTGTTTTTAACCAGCCCATGTGCTCAGGTGAGCGATGTGGCCCATGGGCCTCTTGTTTAATATTGCTTCACAAAAGGTTCGTCATCTGCAAATGTAGAGATAAATTCAATATATAAATAAATAAAAATTGACTTAAGTCTAAGTTTGTTTCATGATCCTGGGGCCTGAAGTACTTCACAGTGACAATGTTGTGTTAATTATCGGAACAAGGTTTTAGGCCTATGTGTCTTCTATATTATAATGCTAAACCTGTAAACAGGATGTTTTTGATTTTTTAAACTGAATTTTATCCCTGTTATCTTTGCAGGATGGCCAGGTTCTAGAAATATCTCAGGTTAATGACATTCGCTTAGGATTGGCTCCTAAAATAAATGTAAGTTTTCTGTTGAGAAATTCAACACTCTTGGGAACACTGGGAATTAGAGATATTCGATTTTCCCTGTACCCAAGAATATGGCATGTTAAATGTTGCAACATTTATTTTGAGTAATTTTCCATAAATTTATATTTTATAATTTTGTATTGTAAAATTTTTCTCTCATCTGTATTCTTTAATTTTCCAGATAGAAAAAAAATAATGCAAGTGGCAAATTATAGAATTAAAATAAAGAAATATACAATATAAATAGTAATTTATTGAATACAAATGGAAAATAGTTTATTGCAAATGAAAAATTATAAAAGACCAATAGACGAAAGATAAATGAAACAATATAGAATTAAAATTAAGTTATAAATTTAAAATTATATGATACAAATAAAATACTGGAGAATGCAATTGTATACTATAACATGAAAAAAAAATTCAATACTAATGAAAAATCATACAATAAAAATGAAAATTATTCAATACAAATTATACTACATGTATACAAATGGAAAATTATAGAGTGCAAGTTACTTCTCCACTTTTTAAATATCTGCATTTTCAGCGTTTTTAGTAGTAAATGGTGTTCACATGTAGCATTAGGCTCTTCCATACATTCCATCAATAATTAAACCTATATCAATTAATAATAGATTTTAAAATAAAATTACATATGATTTTTTTGAAATCATTTTAAGATGTGACTCTTAACTCATAGTGAGCGCAGCAAGACGCGCAAAGCCCTGCTTGTCACTGCAAGCTCTTAAAGCAATGCCTGGGCGAAGAGAAAATTCAGACTTGTACATTGATCCAAACAAATTTTTTCCGCTTTAACTTGAACTGCATGGATTTTTCAAATATGTTCTGGCGAGAATAACAACAAAAGTTCAACAAAAAATAAACTTGCATTGGATATATTGCAAATAAATATGATAAATGTCTTCATTAAATTCAGCACTTTTCAGGCTTTGGTTTGATATTAATGCAATTTAGACATCAGAGTCTAAATGCAAAATTCAGTTTGATGAGCCTGATCTAAATTTATAAGTATTTGTGCTTGCCCTAACGGTTGCACTGTTAACATATTATTGCATCAAATACTGCACTGGAATGTACATGTATGTATGCATTAGATTGGGGATTAAAATTTTTGAATGTAATTATAAAATTATACAGTTAAATAGGATTCAACCTAATTTAATGAGATTGACATGCTTATATTTGTATTTTTTGATACAAGGATCCTCGTACCTATGCTGAAATAGAACAGAGGGGTAATGGTAATCTGGAATGGAGGACAGTTACTATCTGTAGTGGACTGGACCTAGTTAACATCAACTATACACCAATGATAGCTGCTGACCCTGATACCGCACGGGTAACGATCTGGGCTATTCTGTACTTCTGGGCCTTTTTAGGTCACCTGGGTAACTCAGGTGACCTATTGCTATCCGTTTTCGTCCGTCGTCGTGCGACGTGTTAACATTTGAACATTTTCAGCTTCTTCTCTAACATTTGAACATTTTCAGCTTCTTCTCTGAAACCACTAAACCAATTTCAACCAAATTTGGTATACAGCATCTATGGGTGAATGGGAACATAAATTGTGAATTTTATGGTCCCCGCCCCCCTGGGGCCTGAGGGGTGGGGCCAAAACCACTAAAATTATTGCAATCTTTAAAAATCTTCTTACTCCTGGACATCAAGCAGGCAAACTGTTGGCATGAATGTAATGAGCATTGAGTCCTCTACCAAAATTGTGAAATTCATGGCCCCAGGGTCAGGGGTTCTAGTGCTAGGGCGGGGCTATATACAGTGAACCCTCAGATATCCGGACGCCAGATATCCGGATGCTTCAGTATCCGGACGATTTTTCATCGGAACGAAATTTTTAAATGTAATTTTGTCTTGTTTAACTGGTGATTCAGATATCCGGATGCTTCACATATCCGGACAAATTGACTGGGAACCAAAGTGTCCGGATAAATGAGGGTCCACTGTAGATTATATAGTGAAAATGCATTATTTCTTTAAAAATCTTCTTCTCTGCTCCTGGGTATTAAATAAACTAAGTACATATTCCTGATGAGCAAGAGTGCCTCTTTCAAAATTGTGAATTTTATGTCCCCGGGGTCAGGGGTTCTGGTGTTGGGGGGGGGGGGGCTCTATTGATTATATAGTGAAAATGCATTTATTCTTTGAAAATCTTCTCCTCTGCTTCTGGGTATCAAATAAATGAACTAAGTACATAGCAATGATGAGCAAGTGTGCCTCTTCCAAAATTGTGATTTTATGGCCCCAGGGTCAGGGGTTCTGGTGTTAGGGCGGGGCTCTATTGATTATATAGTGAAAATGCATTTATTGTCTGAAAATCTTCTTCTCTGCTACTGGGTATTAAATATACAAACTAAGAACATAGTTCTGATGAGCAAGAGTGCCTCTTCCAAAATTGTGAATTTTATGGCCCCAGGGTCAGGGGTTCTGGTGTTAGGATGGGGCTCTATTGATTATATAATGAAAATACATTAATTCTTTGAAAATCTCCTCCTTTGCTCCTGGGTTTTGAACCTATGATCCAAGTGTACAGTGGACCCTCATTTATCCGGACGCTTTGGTTCCCAGTAAATTGTCCGGATATATGAAGCGTCCGGATACCTGAATCACCAGTCAAACAAGACATAATAACATTTTAAAATTCTGTTCCGATGAAAAGGTGTCCGGATAGTGAAGCATCCGGATATCTGGCGTCCGGATATCTGAAGGTCCACTGTATGTATTTATGATGAAGAAAGGTGCATCTAGCAAAATGGTTATTTTTTATGCCCCCCTGGGTCGGGGTGGGGGGTGTTACATAGTCTGAAAATAAATTAATGCTTTGAAATCTGCTCTTTGGTATTAGTTAACCATTTTATGTTAAAATTTGCAAAATTTTGAAATATGTGGCCCCAGGGTCAGTGGTTCCTTTCAGGTGAAGTGCAAAACTGGTTATAAAGTGGAAGTGCATTTTCTCTTTGTTACTCTGATCTACCTCTGGGTATTATGTAAATAGAGTAAGCATATTAATGTCACAGTTGATATTTAATTAGATACCTTGTGAATAATTCATATTTGATTAGCGCGCACTGCTAATCAAACGTAGCGCTGTTTGTGTGAATGAGTGCCATGTGTGAATGTTTTGTTTGTCACGTGATGTTTCTATTTTTAGCTTCCCAACCGACCAGGTATACGAGTACGACCAGTGGACCAATGACAGACCTCTATCTGATAATTAATATGCATGTATACTAACTTCGTGCACTATATAAGCGCTTATCCCCCCAAATAAGATATCCATTAGCTTTTACCTTCACGGTTTATGAGGTCTTACCATTTATGAAGTCATCGAGTTATACGATGTCTTGATTACTATTATAATAACATTCATTATTTTATGATACTGGATACCTGGTAAGATTAAATTCTAATGATGTAAATACTTATATCAATTTTGATAATACGTAAAATATCTTAATGACAGCGACGTGAATTTGCATGTTGTGTAATTTGTAACATTGTTTAACGTGCTGTATTTGTCTCTTGTTAATGTGTGTGTTGTGAGAGTGTTTTCTATGTTTCTAGGTTTCTTTTCTGTTATCCATAATAAAACATCATTACTCGAATCCAGCGTTTTCTCTGAAACGATTGACCCTGTGACATTAAGTTTATAATTATGATAAGCAATGGTGTCTCTTTCAAAATTGTGAATTTCATGGCCTCTGGTTTAAAACATGAACCAAACTTAATTGTTGTTTGAAAGTTGTTACACAATACTCAGGTGACCTATAAGGCCCGTGGGCCTCTTGTTATATTTTGTTTTTCTTTACTGGTCATAGAATGAGCAAAGTTAGTTAAAATTTTATGGAATGTATGTCATTTTATATCTATTCAACGATTTTTGTAATACCTTGTAGCTTTGTTTTTGAGTACATTTCTTTTGACAGGTTTGGTATGAATGCCTGAGAAAACTAACGCCCAACACCAAAGCAAATAACATCTGCCCAATGACATCATTGAAAAAACAGTAGGTCTCATTTCTTGTATGAATTAGGTTCTTTTGTAATTATTAGTCCCCTATCAGTGAAATCTCTGTAATATACTTTAAAAACCCTAATTTAATTAAAACGAGACTCACAAGTACAATACACTGAGATACATGTATATGGTTCTCTTTGTGGATTTTTTTTTACTTTGATGAATGGTGTTGTCATGGTTACTTAAAATACTCATTTCTGGGAAATGCATTTAATAGGTGTTTCCTTATTCAATTTTGGTCTCATTTTAATAAATCTTGCCACAAACCTAGTGTTCAAATAAAATATAGTTCTTAACAAGCTAGTCAATGTCATAGCTTCACATACCGGTATACTGTTATACAATTCAGTTAAATATAATTATTTTAGTGGGCAGTACTTTTATTCAGTCAATTTATTTATCCATTAATTGATATAAAAGTTGGCATTATCATCTTCAAACTCAAGGTTACATTGTGTGCCACGAAGCTTAAGGTTTGCACCCTTTATCAGCTGCCTCAGTGCAGGTTTTTTTCCTTTGAAGACAATATATGTGCAGCGAAATCAACATCACATAATGTTAGCCACAAATTTGTGCAGTGGGGACAAATCAGACAATATTTGCCCCCAAAGTTCTTAAGCCTTTGTTTTTATGGTAATATTGAAAAGAAGTATATTCAAGAGTTCTGTGTTTAAGTGGTTATTGCAGTTCCTGTTGGACTCTTGATGTGGAATCGGATGTCACGTTGATGCTGTATTAGTAACATAATCATGTTCATATCTATCCCATTTATCAAAGAAATATAATTCTCTCAAGAATGGACATTGATAGAGTATATTTTCTGCTTAATTAATGAGAGATAATATTCTTAACTAGTAAGAGGTTTATTTTGTCAAATTACATTCTGTTTGATCGCAAATTCTTCATTTATTCTTCTTTCGCTTATGGCTGTAGGCCATTTGTTTCAGAGAATCCGAAAGATTCATAAATATAATTGCTTGGTAGGCCACAATATATATACATGTATAATGAATTTGATATAAAATCATTTGGTTTGGTGTCAACGGACAACTGTATGGAATTTAACAAAGGACAGGAATATTGATTCAGGTTTAAAGCATAGACAATACATAATAGATGTGTAACAGGAAAGAACATGCAATTCTATGGGTGGTCAATAGAATCAAGTTATCTGACAGAAAAGAAGAACATGTATGCCTGGACCAGAAACTGAACCTGGAACCCCTGTATCTTGTGAGATAATATACCGACTGCTCTATCCAAACGAATATCAGTGGCCCAAACTATTACACCCTCACTGAATTAAAGTCAAGAACTGATTCCTGAATGGAATTTAGTCAAAACTTTGGTTTAGCACTAAAATGAAGACAATATCATCATGAACTTGTTATCACTGAATTATTACACTTGCAAGGTTAGAAAGACAATATCAACATTTTACACCTGTGCCAAAATTAAGAGAGTCTAATGCAACATAATAGATTAATAGGCATTTTGAGCATGCTAGTATTTTCTTATTAAATGTTGTGATCTTGGAGCATCACTCATTTTTCTGTTGTTAAGAAATATTGTCCAAGAGTTAATACTTATTATCTCTTTTTAATAACTCTTTCAGGATAAACTTAATTTAGCTCTACTGATCAGAGACCAAATGAGGATATTTTTTGAAACGCTACTCCACCTATAGTTTTGGTCTGATTTCAATATAACTTGGCACACAAGTAGACTACACTAGGATACATAGTTCTATATATATTTGATTTGATGAATGGTGTTGCCATGGTTACTAAAATAGAAATTTCTGTGAAATACTTTCAAAATACTTCTCCTACAGTTTTGGTCTGATTTCCTTATAACTTGGCACACAAGTAGACTACACTAAGATACATACTTCTATATATTGACCTTTGATTTCACTGAATACACAAAGATGCATAATTTTTTATATATCAGTTTTTAACCATTATTATTGATGTTGTCATGGATACTAGAAATAGAAATTTTTGTGATATACATTCAATACACTACTCCTCCTACAGATTTGGTTTGATTTTAATGTAAATTCTGGTTTAAGTTTGCTTAATATTTGAGAATAAACCCAAAGAAATGTTAAACTTTATCAGCCTAATTTGAATATTTCTTTCTTTTCCAATTCCAGCTGGTTAAAGCTTTGCTTGTTGGTCAATCCAAAGGGAAACATCCCTGTGAAAAGGTTTGTCATGACTTCTTCTAATCTTTTGCAGTTTGAAACTAGAGGTACTGTGAGCAATGAGCTCACTAAATGATACCCCTTGCCTCCCATAATGTCCATGTTTTGCTATATATTGTTTTACGGTAATGTGTAAAGAGGAATAACTCATCCTATCAAATGTTATCCAGAAGCTTCTATAGTCATAGGTAAACATATAATGGCAATGTCCTTGTTTTGCTATGCTAAACCTAAAATACGTGTTGAATAAAAAAGTAAAATAGGAGGTGCACAATGGCAATATGTAATAAAGATTCTGTGAAAGTTTCATTAAATTTCACTCAGTAGTATAAGAGGAGATGCGGATAAGATATAAAGCGTAACAGACGGACGGACGTACAGACGGACGGAAATCCAGATTACTATATACCCTCCCACTTTTCAAGCAGGGGGTATAATAATGCTGCTTCCTGAGAATCTGTACTTCAGATGTATATCTATTAAAATGTGTGTTTTCTAAATGAACTACTGTAAAATGCCATATTTCATGGGGTCAAATTTTTCGAGGTTTGATGAAAAACTAGAGGTATTGTGAGCAACGAGCTCACTAAATGATACCCCCGCCTCCCCTATGGTTATAATGGCAAAGTCCATGTTTTGCTGTGGCCGGGAAACCCAAAATATGTGTCGGATCAAAAAGTAAAATAGGAGGTGCACAATGGCAATATGTAATAAAGATTCTTTGAAAGTTTCATTTAATTTCACTCAGTGGTATAAGAGGAGTTGCAGATAAGAGATGGGTACCCCAAAGCGTAACAGACAGATGGACGCACATACCGATTACTATATACCCTCCCGCTTTTCAAGCGGGGGTATAACTATGGCTCAGTAGGGGTGAAGGATTGTTACCTATTTTATTTAACTTTTGGTGGTGGACATGAATTCGTAGGTCTCTTTATACCTCAAAAACAATGAAACAACCCCCCCATGAAAATTAATGATTTCACATTAAGTGAATAATGAATGTTTTAGAATCATAAGCAACAAATTTTTTCACAAGACCTGAGAAAGAGGATCAGAAAAAATGATTTTTTCTGATTTTTTTTAAACCAGGAAAAGCCAAGGATCCTGCTTATAATGACTAATTAGACAATGTTTAATGCCAAGTAAAAGAGAGTAAGAGATTTAAGTTAGGGTTAAGAGGGGTCACAACATAAGGTCACACCGTAAGGGTCAACATGTTTTATTAGAATAATGAGGGGGGAAAATCTTTTGCAAATCAGCAAAGTCAAAAAGGTTGCTCAAGTGAGTTTTGTGGTTTATGGACCCCTTGTTTTTTAATAAACAGCAGTAATATTTTTTTTCCAAATATGGCATGTATCTACTACCAGTGTTGTGTGACCTTTAACTTTTCCATATTGCTGTTTGTAGCATCACCAGAACGTTTGCCTCTGGGAAGACAGAGAAGATGATCATGCAGTGTTTGATGGACCTGGGTCTCCCGGGAGGAAAGGTGAGGATTACACTAGGAAGTCATTTGTAAAGAACACAGTTGTTTGTTAAATTCTTTTTTATACCAATAATTGAAACCTGTTTTTGATTGTAATACCTGAGTAATTATAATTAATAAATTGTAAGATTTTATTGGTGTTAAATAAAATTATAAGGAAGCAAGAATTATTTTTAAATACTGTCTTTTACGAACATTCTTTTGGTGTTGTTTGATGTGAATACAGTTGTATTAAAAACAGGCCTCATAGAAAATACAAACACTCTTTTGGAAGGAGATGCTCCACTTCTGTTATTTTTCTTAACTCAGGACTGATGGTCCTTCTAAGGGCATTCGTGTTTTTTTTTTCAAATGCATTGTCTAAAAAATGAATGCTTTATGTTTCAGAATGATGAGATTGACCCCAAACTATTTACTTTTGACAAATTTTATGAACTTTATCACAAGATTTGCCCTAGAACAGACATAGAGGACTTATTTCGTGAAATGTAAGTGTTATTTTGTGAATTTTTCATATCGTTTAATAGTTCAGAAATTTTCATTTATGATGAATAATCTTAAAAATTCTATATTTTTTTTTTTATTCTAGAACTTTTCAGCTCTCTTGAGCTTAAACATGTTAAAGTTCAAGTAAAATTTACTGATTTAAAAATTTGTCTTGAGTCTTTCCATGATCTTTTCACATTTTGGACCTTCTCCAAAACACCATGGCAAATTTGGATAGAATTTTTAATTCATTAATGTAGGTTCAAGTGAAACGCCACACTCTCTTTAAAGGGAGATAATTAAGAAGGAGCAAAAAATTGATGACATTTATTATAAAAAATTTAAAAATTCTCAATACTATAGATTCGTAAAAATACGCGTGGAATAAATTATTGCGTAATTTTGCGAGAAGTACCACATGCAAATTAAAATTACTTGCCTTTACTTTTTTGATGCTGAAATATATGTAAAATCTCTTGATCAACCGTTCATTCGCGGATTATTATTCTCGCGATTTGACGTTGTAGAGCCCATTCGGGATAATACGTACTTGCGAAAAATAAGGAATCTACAGTAACCACTGGAAAGCTGAAACTTAAGTGAAAGCTTTGTTATATAGTGTACATTAAGATTCAAATCATGGCCCCAGAAAGTAGTTTAGAGCCACATATGGGAATCAAAGTTTTATAAGGAATACAGTGTATATAGGAATATAGAATAAATAACAAAATCTTTTTACTATGAGGAATAGGGCAATGATTAATATAAATATTGATTTTTAAGGAGACCAGTCTTTAGATTTATAGAAATACATATTAACTAGAGGTACTGTGAGCAATGAGCTCACTAAATGATACCCCCCGCCTCCCATAATGTCCATGTGTTGCTAAATATTGTTTTACGGTAATTTGTAAAGAGGAATAACTCGTCCTATCAAATGTTATCCAGAAGCTTCTATAGTGACGTCATGGGAAAACATATAATGGCAATGTCCATGTTTTGCTATGGGAAACCTAAATTACGTGTCGAATAAAAAAGTAAAATAGGAGGTGCACAATGGCAATATGTAATAAAGATTCTGTGAAAGTTTCATTAAATTTCACTCAGTAGTATAAGAGGAGTTGCGGATAAGAGATCAAGCGTAACAGACGGACGGACGGACGGACGGAAATACCGATTACTATATACCCTCCCACTTTTCAAGCGGGGGGTATAATAAATATATAGAAAGCATATACTTAGGGAAAAAAAAATTAATTAATTGTTTCTCAAGCCAAAAAATTCAAAATTCAATGCGACAGGCAGGCTTTTTTTTTTTTTTTTTTTTTTTGAAAGCAGGTTTTACTCCTTTTTTGTAAGTCATTTGTGCAGTAAAATGATAATATCTACTAATTCTTAAGTTTTGTTCTCTGAAATTAGTTATAATATGTATTCAACATTAACTAATGTTATTCCAAACATTTACCGTAATTTTCGGGTTATAGGTCGATGGGGTATATAGGTCGAAAGACTCATTTTCAGCCTTAATTTTTGAAAAATCCTAAGATAGGACGAACTTACTATATAGGATGAGGCTTTGTTTCCCGTTTTCTAAAGATTCTCACGCAGATACAACGTATCAGAACAGGTAAACCTCTAAAATTACCGGGGCCATTCCGTGACATGAAGGTATCAAGAAAACAAATAGGTATTTTAATGAGTACAGCATTTAAATAAAGTTTTTAAAAAAATGTAGTTAAAACTTCTTTGAATTGTGTTACTACTTTTTTTCTCCAACTTGCCTGTTCAATGCCTCTGTAGTTTCATACTGTTGTTAAACGAGAGGCAAAAATAACACGTAAATACGTTTCTTATTTTAAGCTATAATTCGGGAAATACCCGAGATCAAAGAATAATAATTCTGATTTCAGAACAACTTGGACACATTCCGAATATAGTTTATTCAGTTAGTTATTTACCGGTGGACGACAATTGCTTCGATGTCCGCCATTTTCATTTTTCTTCTTCAGAGATTTGCTAAAACCCGCAAACGACCATTGAATGTATATATAAAGCAACAGTAAAGAATTGAAATAATATTACCACGCTGAAAGTTTAATTTATAAATTTAATTGAGAGAACCGGTACATCCACAATTTGACAGTCATTATGAATTTCATGGCTTTGTTTGTTCAATGATGTGTAACACTAATACCCTATAACGGCACGTGGATTTGCTAATCATGCCCTGCGGGTATTAAACCAACACAGGTGTTGAAACCTTTGCGTGTACACACAGTGTAAATCCTTTTATCTGTCAGACAATTAAAATTCGTTAGAAGCCAATCTTTGTATAGCGGTAATTCAGACTGTACTTCTTGTGTACGAAGAAGCTTTTGATAAACCTTATTATATCAGTTAAAATTATATTTCTGTCTTAAATCATATTTCTGTAACCTGCATTTATTACTAATTCTTTGCTTGTAAAACTCCATATCAATAAAATTAATTTTTTATCATCCGCATGTATATTTCCATAATTGCTTGTAAAACTTCAAACTATCTTTCAAAACGATTTTTAGGAATTGACTGGCAACAATTTATTTCACTCATTTTATATTAAAATAAATATAAGACTTTTATAATAAAAAAATTAATACTATTTCAATTTATCAATCTACTAATTAATGGTAAAACACTACACTTGTGATCTTGAAAATTTTTCCGTATTTTAAATTTTGATACGGTTGCGGTTTTACTTTTAGTAAACGATAGCGACTTCCTAACTTCACAAGATGGCTACCGCATGATGGCAATGGATAACACGTTGAGGAATTATTAACTTGATGAAGCACAGTTTTTTCCTTTGTCATCAACGGATATTTAATGGAATTTATTTTGTAAGAAAGCTATAGAATAAATATTTTATTGTTTACCTAGGCATTAATTTTTCTGCGTAAAATAATGAAAAAAGTTATAAAAGTGGCACAGATTTGCTCTGAAATTTACGTAAATTTTATTGATTTTGGGGCATTTTTCGTAAACTTGAGCCTAAGAAAGGTCGAATTCGTATATTGGGCGACCCCAGCGGTTCTGAGAAAAAAAGTATCAACCTATAACCCGAAAATTATGGTATTTAAAAGTTAACTGATAAAATACTTTAGATTTAGAAGAAATATATTGTTTTTCTAATAAAAACGTCTAAACGTCTTTCTTAGCATTTATGAAAAGGGGAATAACTCGATTTTCTTTTTCATTTTGGAAAAATAGAAAATTGAGTTATTTCCCTTTTCAATATGTCAATAAAATTTATTGATGCGGCCGTTTTTGAACTGATGCGGCGGTGCCTGAGAAACTATTGATTAATTTTTTGGGGCCTTAGCAAGGAGTTTATATTATCATATATTTTGTTCTTTTTATGAACAGAGCTAGTAGTGCCACAAAAACATATCTTACAGTACCTCAACTTGTGGACTTTTTCAATGAGGTAAGTAAGGTAGAACATACTAATGTTTTAATTATCACAATTTATTCAATATTGACTCGATCTTCTGAAATTTTTTTGGAGAAAGTAAAGAAATGTAGTAGTATGAATGTATGTTTGTTTTTCAGAGACAGAGAGACCCTCGACTGAATGAAATTTTATTCCCTCATTATAACAAGAAAAGAATTCTACAGATCATCCAGAACTATGAAAAAGACCCAGAATATATTGAGAATGGTAAACCCATTTAAGCAGGTCTTAGATAAATACAGAGAAAAAAGATCCTCATCCTTACTCACATGCATTATATAGTCTTCCTATTTGACCTCTAGCAACATGAAATTTAAACTGCATTTTATCCACATTCAGTAGTTTAAATTTGTTCTAATCAAGCATATAAAGAAGAAATTAATACCTCTACATAAATTGTGTCTGTATTACAGATTTTCAGAACAAATGCATGACCTCCAGTAGATTCATTTAAACAATAAAATGCTTTCTTTGTTTGTTATTACTGGAATTAATGGAAGCAGCTGTTGCAGAAAAAATACATAACCCACTTACGCGGGTTATTTAATTTTTTTCTGTAATAGCTGCGACCGTTAATTCCAGTAATAACAAATAAAGAAAGACATTTTATTGTTTATATTTATATCTGTTTAAAGAATCATTTAAAGAAGGATTAAAAAATTTAATTATTGTATTAATGATGCGAACGTCTTTATACGTTTCATTGATGGAACAGCCACTGATCAAGAAATGTGTACAGGCGGCATGCCTAATGTAGTTCATGCAGTGATTAACGTAATGGGTTTTCTTCAGAAATAAAGGAGAAAATATTCAGTGGATATATATATATATATATATTATATACAAAGAATTTAAGGAACAACTGTTACAGTAGATTTTAGTACACCTGTGCCAAAGGTTTAAGTGAGCTTTTCTGATGATGTTTTGTCTGTCTGTCTATAAACAACATATTCCTGTTCTTGTCAAG